AGCTCAAATGCATGATTACGGGAGATGAGACTTGGATTTATGCTTACGACCCTGAAACAACCGACCAATCAAGCGAATATCGTGCTAAAGGCGAGGCCAGACCGAAAAGAGCACGTCAAAGTCGTTCAAAAATCAAGGTCATGATGACAGTTTTCTTCGATTTTCATGGTGTGGTGCACTATGAATTCCTTCCACCCGGCCAAACTGTTAATAAGGAATATTATTTGAGCGTTATGCGTCGTTTGCGTGAAGCAATTCGTCTAAAAAGACCAGAATTATGGGCTAACAACTCTTGGTTTTTGCATCACGATAATGCACCATCTCACACTGCACTCGTTCTTCGTGACCAATTCGCCAAAAATTCGACGCATATCGTTCCGCAACCACCGTATTCGCCTGATTTGGCTCCGTGTGACTTCTGGCTATTCCCAAAACTCAAGAGACCACTCCGGGGAACGCGTTTCGAGTCGATTGAGGAGATAAGAGCTGAATCGAAGAAGGCGCTGATGGCTATACCGGAAAGGGACTATTTGGCATGTTTCGAGGATTGGAAAAAACGTTGGCATAAGTGTATTTTATCGGGAGGGGATTACTTCGAAGGGGATGACATTGATGTTGAAGAATAAATAAAGATTTTTTATTTTACAAACAAATTCACCTTACTTTTTGCCCACAGTAGTATCTCTGCTTCTAATTATCAAATTCGATTTTTTACTTGATATGGGAAATCTTGATAAATTCAAATATAAAATTGTTTTTATGATATTTTCATGAATGTACGAGGTACAGTAACTATAATTTTTTTTGTGATTTTTGTAAATAACAGTCATATCGTCTTTTAGAATAAATACGTAAATATTTCATTAATATTGAACTAAATTAATTAATTTTTATTAATGAATCATGTGCAGCAAGTGATTGTAGATTCAATTATTTTTGCCATTCAAGAATGTGGCAACGTAGAAATTGTAATTAGATAATTATTCATAAATTTTTACCACTATAAATCATTGTAATAATTTTAAAAAAGTTAGGGAACAGTACGGAATTATAACTATCAGTTTCAACAACGTAAATTCATTTATTTTACGAAAGCTGTAACGGGGTTGCTTACCGTTTAATTAATTTTATCCGCGTAATCGTATTAAAAAACGCACGTAATTACCTATGTTTAATACGGAGGTCGGAGAGCAAGAGGGAACGGGTGTTAGTCAACCAAATAACTACGAATACGAAATAAACAGGTCGAAAGTACTGGCTAATATCACAGACGAAAACTCTTTATTACCTCTGAATGTTACATTACATTCGGCCGGCGTGTTTATGTTTACATACCGCGCCCCCACAGCAACGACATACAGTGTCGGATCGCTCGCCGCTCTTTGTTAGCAGAGCTATTACATGCACGCTTCGCTTCGAGTACGGAAAATTGATTATCAGGCATGCAATCGCGGTCGCGAGATTAAGCTAGCCAGCTTACCTTAATTACGGGTGTTCGGCAGCGAACGAAACTTAGCACACACACGCTCGGATAAAGTCTGTTGTTCTCCCTTTCTTTCGGGTCGCGAACTTGCGCACGCACGGTTTCGCCCTCGAAGGCGAAACACTTCACACACACTCGTGGTGGCAGGGGAGGACACCGTGTCTGCAGGCTCTGGTCAGCACTCTCTGGGTAACTCGGCGACAATAATTACTCGATTTCTGCGGTGTGTTCAGGCTCTGGTCAGCATTCTCTGGGTAACCCGGCGACAACAATCACTCGATTTCTGCGGTGTATTCAGGCGATCAGGTTACGAGCCTCGATTTTTGCGGCCTCTGTATCGGTAGCTAGTCCCATACTCGGATCAGCTCGTCTCGGCACTCGGGAAAGCTCGGGAACTATCAACTATCCCACCTTGCACAGCTTAGCGACCGGGCGCTCATCTTCGACTCCTCTTAGGCGATATCGATAGCTGATCCTCGACTGGTTCGTTTTCAATCGCGCGCGTTCCGCCTCGTCGCGTGCCGAATTCCCTCATTACGTTTTTCGTCTCCCGGTAGGTGCTGCCCCCGCGGGCAGCCACTAGGTTAAGCTATTAGCGCTAATATGACGTTTACCGTCACAAAGCATTCAAGAACTGTATTCGGAGAGAATAAAGTATATTAAAAAAATATTTTCTTTAGCCATAAGATACATTTACAATAAAGAAAAATATTTTCATGTTTATTTTCATATTTATGTCATTATCTTATTCCTATACATCTATATAATCTAAAAAGATAATGCTAGATATTAAATAATTTTACTATAGTCGAATGGGGAAACGTGCAGAAAAAGGCCATATTTTGCATATTTTGCTCTAAATATTTATTGTGCAAAACGCACAAAGAAATTCAAGGTGACAGACATAGTATTTACATTAATATAATATTCATTAGCGATTTCAAACAAAATAGGTTCCTGCTCTCATGTCCATAATTCGTGCCCTTTTGAGCTAATTCTACTAAACTATATATTATGCAACATATAGAAAAGCTTCTCAAACAAGTAATGTTTTTATTTCTGGACGAAATAATTTGGTAATATGAAAAAGGTGTTTAATATTATGAACACATTTATTTCATTCTCTGTAAACACTATACACAAGGTATATAGATATAAGCTAAAGATGTTATTATGATTCGTCACAGCGCACTGGAATTACGTAATCGACCGATACAGCAGAAACTGTTGATTGAGGCTCTTCATTGAGAATGCGAGTCATGCAGATACGATATTTATTGTATTAAATGAAAAATTTCAATTGTCGTTTACGTATTTTGTTTCTACAAATATTATTAACATCTTTTTTTATTTTAAATTACTTGTAAAATAAAGCTTTTCAGACTGTTGGCTACTTAAGCAAAATTTGTTCCATGTCCGCAAAACAAAAATTTTTTGAATGTTTATTAGATGATTTCTTTGTAAAAATAAAACTTAAAAAATAGAAATGAATAGGACTAGAGACTATTTTTTCAAAAATTCTTTACAACAATCTAACAGATAGCTCAATCTGTAAAAAAATTATTGATCTAAAATCTCTTGCATTACTTAGTTTAACTTGAAAATATACAATTTCTATAAATTTAATTTTTAAATTAACATAAACAATTATATTCAAAAATGAAGAATTATATAATTTAAAAAAATATGTTAACACTACCGCATATAGAAACATACAGTAGAGAAAAAAAAATGAAATAAATGTTTATTATGTGATAGACCTTATGACATAAATTTATACTTGAAAGAGATCAAGAAAGCAATAAGTAGCCAGAAACTATCATGTAGTAGTTTGCCATGCGTTTAATCAACAATAAACGATTAGTCATTTGAACTTTAAGTTACGGGTTATCAGACGTTCTGCTACAGCTATTTATTTATTGTTTTGATATACTCTCAGACATGTAGTTGACGTAAAATTATCAAGCTTGGGGTTCACATCTGGGTAAACTGTATCTAAGTGAAAATTTCTGTTGTTAACAATTATACAAATGCGCAGAGGAGAATCGAAAGCACTAAAATGCTAGAAATTTTAAGGTGACATGTAAGCTCGCGATATATATAACTGCGGTTTGATGTACAGCAGGCAGTAATGACCTTCAATTGATGCTATATTCTGTTCAGTCTTATAAATAGTAAATTGACTGTGATCGGACAGTTAGTATGCAACTTCTACAATTTACGATTGTAATTTTGCCTTGTTATGTATATAGCTATTAATTTCGTCAATGCCCAAAGGACAAAATTAAATCACTTGAAACCAATTCTAAGCCATCGAATTGGTACGCCATCCTAATGAAACTAAATTGAACTATATATGTAATTATTTTATTTATTTCGTACTGGGTAATTGACGCGAGATTAATAGCAATAACTTTGCATTAAACTATTTGTAATCAAAGGCCATTAGATAAGTCAACAATAATTTGCCATTTAAATTAAAATGGATTTAAGTAGCATTCGTGAGATCTTATGAGAAACTGAAAAAAAATTTTGTATTCGTTGTTGCAAACATGTGGATATTTTTTAGCAACCTTATGAGCTTTCCCACTATAAATTTATATTACACACTGTGTTCATTTTGTTTACTTGGGCTGCCAGGAAAAACATCCTTTTCCAAGATGTAATTTTATAATTAAAAAAAGTCAAATTCTAATTTATAATAAGCTTGGAATTCGTATCATGTTTTCTATTGTATTCAAATCATCTCGGAGATGATGCCATATTATATAAGAATGGATAATAAATTGAAATATATTTATTAAACGACAATTGCTAGCGTTTATTGTGATTTTAAGATTGTATATTTATTTTTCAGTAACGGAATTATATATTTTTTAGGAAAAGTATAAACAAATTTAACAAATATTCAATCGAACTTTTGTTTTTAAATTGTTACTCAAAAATAAAATTGCAGTTCATACTGTTTATTTAATAAGATGCTATTGTATATGAGTAATTATTTATTTTCCAATATAATCAACTTAGTAAGTATATCTATTATTAAAAAGTGCAATAACTAATCTTTATGTATGCAATATTTAGTAATATGATTAACAAAGAAATAGAAATTTTGTGTTACTTTACTTTTTATTGATATTAATGATAGATTATAGTCCAACACCAATAATTTGATTATTACAAAAGTAAATGATTGAACTCTCAATCTATATTATATAATGTGTAAATGCTTTTAGTATTACATTAGTCAAAATGCCAAAAAAATTCTATTCTAGCTTATTATCAAATTTGGAAATATGATCAAACAATTTATAAGTGTATAGATGATCATTTATTATTGGAAATTATTTAGATATTCTGTTGTTATATGAAAAACAACTTATATTTTTCATTGTCTTCAAAATATACATAACATTGAAAGAAAAAGTTGCGCATTTCTCCACTAAAACAAAACTTAAGTTTCACTATGGAAAAGTATATACGAGATAGTCGTAAAAGCAATCGGGAGAAGTATCAAGCGAAATGACGTAAGACTTTTAAAGACACGACACCCCACTTAAATTGAGATGACGAAACGACAATTTGCTTCAAAGTAACGGAAGATATCGGCTTAGTCTGATACTTTCTGCTGAGAAGGTAAGTTGAGATCATCAGACTTCTTTTCGTTGCGGTTTAGATCATTTATACTGTACCAGAAAAATGAACAATAATTTTTTGACTATTTATTTATAACTTTTTTATATGTTTCGTTTATTCTGTCGAATTTTCTTTCGTGAATTCAAAGCTCTTTGTTAAAATTATTATATTGTAACATTGTATGTAATAATTATATGCTCGATTTCTTGAATTATATTCATCTAATATTTGCGTATGTTTAGTTAGATACGACAATGAAACTGCTAATTTCAACGGCGGTAGCCGTTGTACTGCTTGCTTGTGTCAATTCTGCGCTCAGCGCTGTTGATTCTCATGAACACACCAAAGTCGTTTGTTATTGGAACTCAACATCTTTCCTGCGCGCTGGTAAATAGCATTATAATCTCTTAAAATTTCTTCACCATTGCATGGATACATTGCATATTCTATAAAAGATATTTATTTTAATTTAAAGTTTTATCGGTACAATTTCCAAATTGCATAATGTTACTGTATACGATACTTGAAAAATTTATAATGTTCACAATTATTGCCGTAAATTTGAATTTTTAATACAACTCTGAAATACTTACTAAAGTTCAAGTTATCCTTATAGCAAGTCCACAATCAATCTATAGTTTTGAATTATTATTCCAGAAACAATGACAGTATGTTAAAACTGGTGATCGCTTTATATCAGCTAAATTGGTGTAGTCATTGGTTTATTGGTCTTTCTTTTTCAAACTTCTAATATGATTGTTAATTGCGTAGGTCCCGGTAAATTTAACGTGGACGATCTCCGGCCGGCGCTTTCGCTTTGTACTCACTTGATTTACGGCTTTGCTGGTATCAACGCCGCAAATTTTGAGGTCATACCATTGAACCCAAGCTTAGACACTGGTGCTGGTTATGGATTCTATCGTCTAGTTACCCAACTCAAACGTCAATTCCCTGACCTTAAAGTCTACCTTGGAATTGGTGGCAATGCCGATCCTTATGAAGACACTCACAAATATCTCCTTGTCGTAAGTAAATCCATATTCATTCATAAAGTCCCCGTGATATCGAATTTTCGAGATAATCTCTAATGAAAATAAAAATATTAGATTATAATGCATTGCTAAGAATACTATCACAAATTTATCTTCAGCCTCGAATAGAACATCAAAGATTATTACGAAATGACGTACGATCTACTGACTAATGGCACTAAGTCACTTTTATGTATTACTAAACATTTTCTTATTCCTTGTTTGCACAACAGATAAATTTTTGAAGTAATTATAAAATACTTAAAAATTAATGTTTTAATGCAATGGCATAAATAATAATGACATATTCTTCAAACCAATGAAACTTTAGATTTTAACACGTATATTAGATCACTAAACTATTTGTAACGATTGAAATAATTAGCATAGCCGTTAGTTATCTTCGGCGAGTAAATAATTCGCAGTCGAGTACGTATAATGTTCAAGGCTATCTTGATTATAACCATTTTGAATTTTGCACTTACGAAGTGCGAATGAAATTATTCAACAGTACGTGTTCGTACTAATGAATGTTGATTATTTCACAACCGCGACGGAAATTTCTCACTTAAAATTTGATTAATCTTACCGAATTAAATGAATTGTTTTCAGACGGAAACGTCAGAAGCCAGAAGCAAGTTCATCAATTCGGTGATTCGTTTGTTGTACGATTATGAGTTTGACGGTGTTGACCTCGCCTGGCAATTCCCAGAGGTTCGGGTGAAAAAACAACGTGGCACGTTTGGATCTTTCTGGCACGGTGTCAAGAAAGTATTCGGAGCAGGTAAATTTAAGGACGAGAAGGAGGACGATCATCGCAATGGTTTTACCAATATTGTCCGCGATCTCAAGGCTCAACTGAGGACAAAGAACAAGGCGCTATCTTTGACGGTTTTGCCTCACGTCAATGCTAGTAGTTAGTATTGGAGCTCACCTATATCGTTGAATCGTTCTAATGGCTTGCGTCAATCCTAAAAAATCAAACTTATTTATTTGTTCAGCTTACTACGACGCGAGAACGATTATACCGCATTTGGAAGCTATCCACATTCTTGCCTTTGACCAGAGCACTCCTGAGCGAAACCCCAAGAAGGCTGACTATCCTGCACCAGTTTATGAGAGCTACGGCCGTGAACAAAGCGATAATATCGACACTCAAGCTAGGTAATTAATTGCATAACAATGTCAGTTGCGAGCGAGTAGTCAAATGAAATGGCGATTGTTGTTTTTCAGATACTGGCTGCAAAACGGAACGCCCGGAAGTAAAATCGTCATCGGAATACCCGCATTTGCTCGCACGTGGAAATTGACTCAGGACAGTGAAGCTGCGGGAGTACCTCCTGTAACCGCTGATGGTCCAGGAGGCGAAGGTCCGCACACCAACATTCCCGGTCTGCTGTCGTATGCCGAGGTCTGCTCTCGCCTGACCGAGCACGCGGTTGGCCGCATTCGACGCGTCAACGATCCGTCCAATAAGTACGGGCCTTACGCTTATCAACAGTACAACGCCGATACCAAAGCCGATGGCATCTGGGTTGGATTCGAAGATCCCGACACTGCTGGCAAAAAGGCCAATTACGTCAAGTCCAAGGGACTCGGTGGTGTGGCCATCTATGATCTGTCTCTCGATGACTTCCGTGGCATTTGCAATGGTGACAAGTTCCCCATTGTCAAAGGAGCTAAATTCAAATTAGTCTAAATCTATTCGACTTGATACTCATCAAAGCTCTTCATTTTTATTCTTTTTTTTGTCTTATGTCCGTTGACTTTATTTCTCTGTTTACGAAGTTTACAATCCAAGCAAAGACTTTTAAATAAATAAACTTTAAAGGATATGGAACAACTTCATTTCTGACCGTATTATCATGTAACAAATTCAAATTCCGTTGATGATTTCATAAATTATATACTAATTACGATATTATATCATTTTCTAATATATTATTTATTATATTTTTTCGATTTCAACAATAGTTTGGATAAATTATTAGATAAGTAAAAGATATCGTTACATTTTTATTCTTTCTTTTTGATGAAAGGAAAATTGGTACAGTAGTTGGTTATCGTCAATAGTACCAATCTACACGCAATCTTATAGAATAATCTTCTATTTTTATATATTAAATCGCTTGTAATTTTTGCAATAAAATCTCCAATATCTTATGGTCATTTATTTCATTCTTTATTACATTGCAAGAAATATACAAGGTTTAATCAAAATAATATTTTTCATACAATCCAACAACTTGTTTTACATAATGAAGACTAGCATCAGTAAACTAAATATAATAATAACGAAGAGTATATCGTTTGTTTATAGATACACATAAAATATACTGTAGATTTACATATTCTCTTAATATAGAATACACTCGAACTAACAGTTTTTCTTTCGATAACTCCAGAATTCTAATGACAAGCTAATCATTCATTTTACCGTAGAGGTTTAACATAAAAAAATAATAATTATTTTGATTCGAGCACAGAACGTTTTTTTTTCATACGCCGCAATGTATAAAACACAAAACTTCAATACAGTTTGATACTAAATTATGGTATATATTGTATTAACTATAATCATGATTATTAAAGTAATAAGAATAGAGAAATAAAACTTTGTCAAATCATTAGACTTTATAACGTGATTTTTCTTATGTTCAAATTAATCGATATTTTTTATTCATTCAGAATAAATGTGCATTCTACTGAAATCATAAACTTATAATAATACATTATTTCTCAAATAAGTATTTTTCTACAATAGACATTTATAAACATACTATAAACATTTACAGACATTTACAAACATTCAAGGATAGTCTCAATATATTTTTTTTCTTGATAAACTGTAAAAGCTCTGCATTTGTAGATCACAAGCAGCTGTTGTTCATCATTTATTAACACAAATAACGTTTTCAATTCAACAACAGCCAGTCGGCATAACCGTTGTTTTGTCAATTAATGGAAGTTTTCCGAAAATTTTTTATTATTTAAAAGTACACGTGTGCATATATCAATAAAGTGCAAAATTTCTCTTAATATAGATGACGATTGTATTATGCGAGTTTTAACTGTTCAAACTGTTTTGGCGTATTTTCTCATGTTTCGTATGGAGCTGCAATTTAAGATTATGATCTATACCGGACGGTTATGATTTTTGAATTCAACTAATATCGATGTTAATGAATAAAGTGTACTTTTTTGTTACATACAAATCAAATCACGTGCCAACTTCCATACTCTATTGTCTTTAATGCAAGTAGTTTAGTTATTAGAATAGTGCAAATTCAGTGTCTGGTGTCACTAAAAAGTTGCAATTAGTATTTTTTTTTGCATAATATACACTATACGTGTTGATAATAAGATGATACTTGTTAAATGCACCTCTAAGTTAATCAAATATTATTCAATTCTAATATTGAAGCTTTTACTTCGTGGCACAGGCGGAATACATAATTCGGCAGAGGAAGAAGTTGAAGGCTTTAAGATTTTGTTATTTTTAATAATTCCATAAGTTTAGTGGAATAAAATTTTTCTTAATTTCTGTACTCGACTGTGCAAAAATTCAACCTTGTCTTTGCTAATGTCTCGTTTAGAATTTGTATCTAGCGATTAAATGCTTATATACAGTGTGTTATAGGATCCATTAATTGGTTTTATACCTGTTAGTACATGTTTTAGTATTTTATCTGTGATAATCGTAAGATAATTCATAAATTTTATGTCAACAATAATTATATATGGTTTCTCTAATAAAAGCCAAAAATTATATTTATATATATATATATATATATATATATACAGAAAGCGAGCGTCGTTTTTATTCTTTAAAAGATATTAATTAATGCGTTTCTCAAAATTTACATATACATCATTTTGAATTCAATAAAAGTTATGATCTATATTTTCACTGGAGTTATTAAAGCGGATGTACATCGAATTTCGATGAGACGTATCGAATGTTAAATTCGTAACTATAAAGAGTATCACCCATAGTTGCAGATATTGAAAAATGGAATGAAGAACCAACCCTTCCGAGAATGTTCTATTTTTTAAATAAATTCTAACATAATTAGAGTTTTGAATTTTATGATTAGGGCTCTGAACTATTGTTTTATCCAGCGGCTTGAAAGTAGTTTTTTTCGACCGTATCTCAGTCGGTAACATACTAATTGTGGCCTCGGTGGACAAAAAAATAGTATTGGCCCTACCGTCGGGAAATTGGCAAGCCGATCATAGCATGTATTTGCCAATTCTTACGTGCTATCAACTTACTGATACTTTCCCAATCTAGGTACGTAATATACTATAGAGACAAACCAAAATAAAGTATAAAATTTTATGTTGACTATTATAGAAATCTCTATAATAGTAGTAATTTATATTCAGTGCTTTTAATTTCTTTTATATTTTTGATAGTAGAGTTATGAAAATGTAAAAATCCGGCAGTTTTTTTGTAGTAATTTGAGGTCTTCAGTTAAGTTTTTCAAATGTTATACTTCTTAAGAATAGTTGTTTAAAAATGATATGATCATAATTCTTTTATACACAAGTTACTTGAAGTTAATGTGTGTTTATTTCTAAAAATCTTCTAAGATCATAAAAATAAAAAAATATCATAATTACCAGCTCCAATTTTAATTCATAATATATTATTAATCTAAGCATCGCCTATTCATAAAAAGATTAGGCTTATTATAATTAATCGAGTACAAACGATGCAGCAAAGACGATTGAATATTCAATCTTTCATGGACCATACAACCACTTGATCAATTGTTTTCATTGAATAATATCATAATGATTTGTAACGACGCTCGCAGTCAATCAATGCTCTTAACTTTCATTTATTTGTACGGACAAGATAATAATTAGGCATTTGTCAACTTCTGTTTATTCTCACTATATACGATGTTTTCGGTGAACTAAGAGCAGCTATGTGACTATCCATATTACGTTAGGTAGACATTTCACCGCGCTCGGGATTTAATATTTATTTAATATACTTTTTATGGAACTGTAATTTGCATATATTGCAAAATAAATATATTACTAATCTGGCGTAATATACTTATTTAATTCATTATACTACTTTAAATATTGACAAATCTGTGCATATAGTGTCTAACTCGAAATAATCAATATGTAAGTGATTACATTGTCTGTTAAAATTAAATAAATTATTATCAAAAATAATAATATTTCAATGCATTATTATAGGTGATTGTATAATCATGTCTAATGTATATTACATTCGATTAAGTAGTCATCTGTAATTCCGAACGCTGTATACAAAAATATGAAAAATTAAAGATGTGCAGCACCTATCAAACTTTTAAATTGATTCTTGAAAAAAAATTTCATTCGATATTCAATACAATATATTAAGTTTCTGCTAGAGTATAATACGTAGACTCCTTTGAATATTATTTAATTTATCAAAGTATCACTTGTGTTTGTTGTATCTAAAAAAATAGTTTCAAATTCAGCTAGGTTCGATAAACTTCTTGTTATCAACGCTTTATATTTATAATGTAATATGGTTAAGCCACTTGTTTTAACTAGAATCGCACACTTATTATATTACGTTATTTATATTTTGTATTTCTTCTTAGCTAAAAGTCAATAACTTTAAAGAAAAAGTAACAATTTATAACATCATTAGTAGATATATCTTATACACTTTTACTATGTACGATTCATTTACGTCAGGCTATAAAATAATTTATTTTATTAAGCAGTAATTTAATTAATACGAATTTTTATTTTCAAATCGATTGTTTGTCTGATTTATAACAGCTGCTCTTCAACGTATTTTGTAGTTCAATCTGAAACTGGTTAAGCATTACGTTTTCAACACGCCGTGCGAAAAATACTACTTTGCCGAATGCTCGGTGAAAAACGTGCACTCAACTTGAGTGCTCATGTCTTATATCAGTTGTACTTTACACGCATTGTTTTGAAAAATACCGTATCTAACATGTTCGGGAAAGAGATTTTTGCCTCGTGTGCCTTTCCAACCTCGCTTCACTTCGCTTGGGTGTAAACCTCACACGAGACAAAAATCTACTTTCCCGCGCTAGTTAGCTAATATACTAATAATATTTATGGTGATCTAGCTTAATTTCGATTTAGTACATTACGATACAAGTGCGGGAAAATAGATTCTTGCCTCGTGTGGCGTTTATGCCCGAGCGAAGCGAGAAACTCTTTCCTGAACATGTGCCGTACCGTATTTTTTAATACGGCGTGTGGAAAGTGCGATTTTCAACGCACGTTTCTTGCCGAGCGTGCGAGAAAAACGCACTTTCCGCACGGAGTGTCCAAAAATAATGAATAGCATTACATGGAAATTGCTTCTACTAATTAAGAAAGTTCATTTAAGCTTAATTTTTCTTAGTCATAATTTGAAAAATTACCAATGTGTAAAATAAATTATTTAAATTGTCACGTGCGAAGCTTCCTGAGAGTCACTGGACTCCAGCTTATACTCTGCTTATACTCGCGCTCGCCATGTTCTTACGGCTTGAAGGGTATTCGTCAACTTTTTTGGGTCGCTCATGCAAGTGCATTTGCACCTCTACAAGGACAAAGTGGAGACGATTAGGCGAAATGCGTACCGAGATGATTCGGCGCAGCCGGGAGACATTCGAGCTCGGGCAGTAGTCGCGCGCGCACACACACGATCTCTCTCTCTCTCTCTCTCTCTCTTTCTCTCTTTCGTTTTTAATTAATAAAGCGCATACACTTATTGTATATTTAATTGCATTTATTTCACCATCCAACCTTATCCTCAAAGATCGGGTAATGTCAAGAAAGAACTCTCAACCCGTCACAAAATCTGGTTATAATTAATTTGTTTTCAACTCTATAACATATTTCTATAGTATATATAAATTGCCTTTTACTGGCAGTATACTCCTGATCACCTTCACGTGCAATAAAATCATAGATAATACATTCAATAAGTACATCGTAAATATATAACAATTTCCTATAATTCTCAAATTTTTTAAGCAATATTAAAAATTTAATGTAAAATCAATAATAGTTTTCCAACAACTTAACCGCATAGATGAATGTTATTTTTACTTTGTTTATTTTTTTATGTCTAGGAAAGTCTAAAAAAGTCGATAGGCATATCCTCAATATTTTTCAAGTATAGACAAAATCAGTTCCAATTTTTCTAATAGCTAATAATCAGGATGCACAGATTGTTTTTTAAAAGGTTGTTTATAGGATTTACCAACATAAACAAAAACAAAGCCTATAAAATTGAAATGGTAATGATCATCTAGATATTATGAAATTGGAAGCGGTGCTAGAACGAAGCAAAACGTTAAATTATGAAAGTTAAACGGTCAATCCACAAAAGAAAGAAATTAATTTCTAAAAAGTTGAACGGTACGCTTTAAGATTGAAGTTGGCGTGTATATTATAAATATTATTAATAATTAATAATAAGTAATATTAATTAATATTAATTAATAATAATTATTATTATTAATAATTAATTATTAATTAATATTATTATTATTAATATTATATTATTAATATTCTGTGAGGCATGTATGTGATCTAGAATATTACATGACAGAACAGCGCGTAACATTGTACCGATTATCTCGGTCCACATTGTTGATGCTGAGTACCTTGAGTAGACGTTCGGTATCTTTGAAGGTGCTTCCAGTGCGCTGTCGACCGGTACGCAAAGCACCTGCCTCCAACATTGACTTCATTGTCTTCTCGCGCATTGTCGCTATCATCATGCGGTGGCGTCTTCTTCGCTTTCGCTTGCGATACTTCGGTAGCGAAAGCTCGAAAAATTCGCCAAGACGCAGCCGTATTGGCGACATGGTAATTTCTTCGTCGACGCGGATCTCAACAACATCATCGACAATCTGCTCCAACTGATGCCCCTTCTTTTTCTTCTTCTTATTGTCCTTGTCCTTTTGTTTCACCTTGGACTGTAACACACGAAACTAGTTACGTCGGTAAATCCCATGAAATGTATAAATAAGTATACAGCTGTATCCGACCTTGTCAGCCATGCATCTTGATCGTATCTGTAGATTTTGGCTCTCGTCCCAGTTGACAATGACAGCTTCATTTTCTTGTGGAAAGCTATCGTGGATCCTTACGGGTCTAGCCAAAGACGAGCGTTTGCGAGCAGGCGTAGCGGGACCCCTCTGATGATTTTGCTTGTCACACAAGTGTTGTAGGCGTGCCTCGTTGTAGCTGCTGCTGTTGGAGCTTTTTGATAGCCAACGACGTATCGAAGGATCCTTCACGCTCATCAGATAACTTTCAAGTTGTTGATTATTAGTGGCAGTCTTGTTGGTGCTTTTGACGTTCGCCGCTTGAAGATTGTTGATCTTCTGAACTCGATTTTTATTGACGGCGGCGCTGCTCACTGCACTGCTGTTCTTTTGATTTTTTGCAGCCACCGCGTTGATTTTGTTGTTCGAATTGGTGCTTTTGTTGACGTTTTTGGCGACGTTTTTACCACGATTAGCAACATTCGGCCTGCTATTCTTGCCGTGGAGATTTTTACCGGGGAGGTTATTCTTGTTACTGTTGTTATTATTGCAACAATTGTTTCTGCTTTTCAGAATGAGATCGTGCCTGCACTGATCAGCACATTGCAAGCAATCGTAATACTTTTCCGAGGCAGTTGTGGGCCCGCGGTTGCGATTGCGTCTATAGTGATCGCCGTCGGCCTGGGCCTGAGAAGGTTGCTGTCACACCTCCTGCAGATATTTCAAGGGACACAAAATCTCTTTGCATCGAATCTCGCCATCCTTTGTAGCTTGCCCTGACGCAAGCACGTCCGAAGCGCAGCGCACCATTGCGACACCGTCAACTTCTTCGCCGACTTGCACGACAATCTACAACAGATGTTTTCATCAACCAAGCTCAATCATATGAAGAAGTACTCGATAAATTGTTGAAAATGTATTTTGAAATGGTGTTGAAAAATAAACTCAGTTATTGCCTTCGGCGAAAGCTTCAACTCTAAATCTATTCAATTCACCGTATAAATTAAGATGAAAGAGCCCACATACAACTCGAAAATACGAACAATAAAAATCGAGGTTTAAGAGGCTTGCAAAAATATTGCAAGTTCTTAAATTTAGCAACGCAAATAATGCGACAACTCCTAATTATTGAGCCAAATCGAGCTTCTACAGAACTTCACTAAAGTGACAAAAGAATTTAACTCTGCAGATCCAATTATAAATAGAATCATTCGATTGGAATACAGTTCACCTTATAGAATATAACTCTTATTTTATTAAATTTTTAATTAAAATTTTTGTCTCCTGTTATATAAAAAATTGGATACTATTTGCAGTAGGCAATTTCTCGAATTGCATAAAAATGAAAACACTGAACTCTCCTCGTGTTTCATTGCTATTAAATTTATACACGCTGAACACACATCTATGGTGTGTTCCATTTCTTTTCCCAAGCCAACTTATCATTCAAAATAAAATAGACTCATAAATGTTTACCTGATCACGCAAAAGAGTCATTTGGTCTGCTAACTGAAGGTTCCGTGTTACTTGGAGTGTCTTTTGGCCGGATTCTACCCTCATAACGTAAGTGCTGGGGAAAAAACCCGCCCGTCCACCTAAACATTTTCCTTTCCACCAATCTTTGTCGGATTTGTCTATAACAGTTACTTTATAGCCGGCTCTGTAAAAATATATATTTTAGGTATGTATTGTTAATGCTAATGTCACATTATATTACTCTGTTATAATAGAACAATAACTAAGAAAAGTAAATTTGTGGTAATTGTTTACAACAACTAAAATGGTTATATAAGAAATAAATTCGTATACTGTACTGATGATTAATTTGTTAGTAATCTTTACAGTAAAGAAGTAAAATATTTTCAACTGTTTATATTATTATTACCTATTGTATTAGTTCTACTATTCTCAATCAATGTATTTTTGTTTAATAATTAGCAGTAAACTTAAATAATTAAACGTCAATAATTATTAAATATTTCGAAACAGTCGTAAATAGAATAGAATAAAATAGAATAGAGAGAGAATAGTCTTAATGTACTTCGTATTGATTTTTCACTGATAATATATTAGAATATTTGAAATCATATATTTGCTCCGCCTATTATTTCAAACAAGCTAGAGAAAATTAAACGATTGTTAGGACGAAAATGGTATAATCATTTGTTAATGATTGTTTATATAGCTTCAAAAATTAGACAAATTGTATTTTATTTCAAGTTCAAATTTATTGAAGAAAATTAAATATAGTCTTACAGTCTAACACTTATAAACCTTGTGAATATCTACAGTAGCACCGAACAAATAATAGAAACGATAACTCGCCTAAACTCTGCTTAAGTCTCTTTCAAGAATATTACGGGCGGAAATTTGAAAACTTGTCTGTTTAATACCATTCGAATGTATAATCTTATAAGATTTATATATAGAAGTACAACAAAGACATCGAGAAAAAAAATACTTTCTATACAAGTATCGCTATTTACAGAAGTATTATATAACACGTAAGCAGCCCTACATCTTTGCTACACGTGTAAATCTCAAAAAATATCACGCAATATTTATTGATAATGAAAATATCAATATGACTTACTTAAGGTCAAGCTCGTCACGATGTCGAGCTTCGAAATTGTACAAAACAACGTAAAGATTATTTGGCGGTAGGACACGTTTGCCAGCCGGATTCGAATGATTTTGATTGTTCATATGAGGCGAAGGACAAGGCGAAGTGCTCGCAGAAGAGTACGACTTTTCGTTGTCATCAGGCAATTCAACACTTGACATTCGTATAGTGCCTCGTAAATGTTGCTTGTGAATGCCATGGATGCTTTGACCTGGACTGCATGGCGCCGCTGCAACATTGCAAGTGTTCTCGTTTGATTATAATTTCAAAAAATCTTTTAAGAAAATGTACTTTTATTCAATGCATTATATAATTTTACGAAATTATCTAACACATCAGGAAGCAAAACCACCTTTTTCTTCTTTTTTTATTATCGTATTTTACAAAAATAGAAGTTACATATAATATCTACGGAGAAATAATGACTATAAGCTTATTTATCTCATTTTACAACGAGAACTGTATCGTATCTGAACCTGTGCAAGCAATAGAGTCGAGTTTTCGAATCAAAATAATGTTTTTGAAAGTAATTAAATAAATAATCAAATCTTAAATTACTTGGTGTTATAATTAAACAAGTTGATTAAATGTTGCTGTGCAATAACAGTCGAAGTAATTTTCTCGGGCAAGAAATAACAGTTTCTTTAATAAATTCACAATTTATTTATGATATTTTGAAAGTGATAGTCTAAATAGTAATATTTATAGAAAAGTTAATATAGTGAGATTCTTAAAATAATTGTAAAAATAGTAGATTACGTATCTAAGCCGTGAGAGTATTGATAAATCTATAGAATTGACGACCGAGGCAAAGCCGATGTTGTCAAACACATTATGAACTTGCCAATATTTTCGTGGCCTTGAGTTGTAATCTACCATTTTTTGGCTCCGGTGGATAGAAATATAGTATACGCAACATGGCGAATTTTCACGTGCTATGGACTTACTAATACTTTCCCGGCCTAGATACGTAATCTATACTATTATTCGCTAAAATTTTTGAGTTTTCTTTTCTTATTCAAGGTATATAGTGATGAAAAAAAGTCCAGAAGCTTTAGCAAATGAAAAAAAATTTTTTAAAGCTACTCTTCCGAAAAATACATTTTCAATAGTTTTGTCATGTATTGAAAAGATAATTTGTCTGTGTAATTTAAAAGGGTCGTCGCGTAGATTACTTTACCAATTTTCGTATTTCAACTGCTAAAATTAATTTACGCGTATTGCAAAAAAGCTAAGAACTTTTTCTGACACTCTCCATACAGACGACCATCGTATGTATCTTTTATTTAGTTCATATACCAGTGACTCTCTAATTTTGAATTTTGACACCGATGCTTGCAAGTGAGTTTTGTTTGATATTTTAACTTTATTAAATTGGGACTACTCATGACTGTGTTACTCTATATTTTGGAATACGGCAATTCTTTTCCACAAACTAAGAAAACTAAACAATAGTTAATGTCGATTATTACTTTAAAATTTATTAACAAAATAAACTTCAAAAAAGAGAAATAACAAATTTGTTACGGATGTATTTTGAAATATGCTCTCAAAGAATTTTCGGACAAAGACATTGCGCTTGGATCATTTCATTACGCCGCGGACTGTTTTGCTAATCGATGCGCGCGTGCGATATCGAACTCGAAATCAAGATCGAGTGACCATGCGTCGCGGCATCGACACTCTTATTTCTAAAAGAATCTTTTATCTGCCGATATTTGTCGGTTGGTCCCTTTGTTGTTAAATTCAATTACAGCCTCTTCGAAACTCAAAACTTAAGCAACACTACGAATATTGTTTACTTTAAAATAAGCGTGTGAGAGAAGCGTGCGCCGCATCAAGCTGAGTTACGATTTAGAATCAAATTTTTACTATTTAACATTGCTACGATCACTGCCTCCAAACTCGCAAAAATGCACACATCGCTAAAAAAGATGGCAAAAGCATTGCGGCAATCAGACTGGTTGAAAGGTTACCTTTCAAAGCTGATTGCCGATGACGGACATTGAGCGTCCGTCACCCCGTTGTTTGAGCCGAAAGCCGGCAATATCAAACAACGCAACACGAGCCACCAAAACACGGCACAATCTTTAGCGCGCGGTCGGAATCATCACAGACTTCGACTCGAGCCAATCAACTAGAGTAAGGAGCAGTTGATACGTGAATAATGAAACCTCGTTGGCAGGAGGTCAAGAAGTTCACGCCTTCGACCTTCGTGCGAGGAAAGGGAATTGAGATAAAAAAAATTTTTTGCATCGGACTCAGCTGGCGCGGTGACGCGTTTCAATCTTTCTAGATCCGGCTCTTAAAAAAGGCAAGTCGCTTATCGTTGAGCACGCGTGCGTTTATCATACTCTATTAATTGTCCTTCCGTCAACTATACCTTTGTAATATTTGGAGATACGATTCTTGTGCCGACTTATTTAATCCTTTCTTATTTTTAACTAACTCAGTTTGCGATTGAGATTTCGAACTTTTATAAATGTAATTTGTATCGTTAGTTTTAATTGCAAACTTACTTTGGTTCCGAGCGTTCCGGTTTATTTGTTATATTTAAGCTATTTTATTGTAAGTTGAATAAATCCGGCGTTCTTATATCTAATATTTTAAAACTTCCACTCTCAGTCCTTCTCACCCTAACAAAATTAAAAAAATATCAAGATACAAATATTCTTATTAAGGTTACACATCATATTCTCCTCTGTTAAAACAATCATACTGTTAAAAATGAGAATTTCATTTAATATACAGTTGTAACAAATGGGTCAGCGGATGCGATCCAATTCGTTCGTGAAATCAATCAGTCGATGTTGTCTTACCGCCTATACTGTTGATCGTGCAAATAAGAGTAAATTTTCTCGTATCTAATCGAAATTGTTTTCCTAACTATCCAACCTCAATCGAAAATAGTTGTGTGTATTTATTTTACGTTCAACTGCACTAGTTAAGTCAAGCGGATAACTATAGTTCAACATGGTCTCATAGTAGTTTTAAATACCATTCGAAAATTTTTTGTTACAATGCAATATTATTGAAATTTATGAGAAAAAATAAAAGGACGTAAGACAAGACACGAACAGTATACTCACACAATCGGTTAATACTGCCACTGTCGGATCGTCGGGGCGGAGTCGACGAATCGCGTTGACCTGTACCGGGGTAATCTCGTGGTCGATGACGTACGTGAGCTGAGCCTTCCGGCGAGTCCAGACTCAAACTTTTCATGCGCAGATTAAGCCGCTCTCGGCGACGCTGCGGACTGTGTGGTGCTGCATTTTTTTTAAATAGACAGAACATTTAGTGACGTTGGAATATTTGTGCTGCATTTATTTGTTTGAACGTTTATTTCTTTTTTGTATTTCCAAACCGAAAACAAAACTTGTCGTTCTAATACAAATTTGTAAAGCTTCTTTCTCATTTTCCTTCTAAACAAAAAATTTCTTTCAATTAATTGAGTAGTATTCCTTAGTCAAATGAAATATTTACTTCAATCTGAAAGCTGCATCAGTAAACGATCTACTTTCAAGTAAAAATTTATGGTCGACAAAACGCTGCGAAGAATACTAGTTTAATTATAATATGAGTATACATATGAGGAAATTACTTGGCACAAGTAAAAACTAGTGAAGCAGCATGCACTTTATCATTCACAAATGCATTATCATACACAGTACAAATAAACGAAATTATAGAGGGACAAAATGTAAGATAGAATGCACATGTGCTAGTGCATAGATAATTTAAGCATTAAAAGTGAGCGTAGTAAAAAATTCATATCTCGCGAGGGACACGGGACTCGTTGCTCAACCTACCTTTTTCCTCCCCGAGGATTATTATTTGCAGCGTTATTTCTTCCTTATAGTTAGTTCCTCTATTTCATTTTTATTCCAAGCTTTATACGGTTTACTTACCTTCCTTATTGTCCATTGATTAGTTATTTTTCATGTTCTTCTAATGAAACGTAGATAATTTATATTTGAGAACAAAAGTCAGAGTGTTATAGAAAGACAGTCTAGAGACCAAAACAATTGTGAATAGAGAACCGTAACAGTTATACTGAAATATAATACGAGTACAATACGGTGCTCTGTGTATGTTTCTTTTCGTAATCAACACATTTATACTTGAAAGAATACAGTGGAAAACTTTCTGTAGAGACATTTTTGCAAGCAAGATGCAGCTCATAATTTCATTTTATATAGGCTTCATAAATCATCATGAATGTCAGGTAGTGACTCTAACCCTTTCGTGAAAGGACGTTATAAAAAAAGAGGCCAGCAGAAAGGCTACGTCTAGCCTCAATCTGCTGTTTGAAAGCTTTTACGTTGAGCCGAGTGCAATATCGCCGTTGTTAAATGTTGACGGGTTTATAAACAAGAACTAACGGCGCGTTCGCGAATAATAACGTTGTCGTATATAGTTATACGAACGCGTTGTTTGTTTCTCAAGGTCACTAAGCGACCAAATACAAAGAAGGAATCTGTTGGTAAATACAATGTGAACTTGTTCTACTGTATCAATTAATAACTTCGATATAGCATTTTAATTGACTATACTTAAATTTAAGAGGATATTTAGAATCTTATCATTGATTCAAGATGTTAAGACATACAGACTCACGTAATTACATCTTTTTTGTATTGCAAATTTCTCAAACTTATCAAGATCTCTTTATCAAATACACGTAATATACAGATACAGTAAGAAAGCTGTGCTTTCAATCTTTTTATAATTCATTTGTTTTGATTCTACTTTTTCTGCTCTCCCTATATCCTTCTTGGGCTTTCAGGATATGTTACTCACCACCGTAGTGTGAGAAGCATCTCCCCTTATTCGCTTTATATGTCATTCCTTGAACCATCGAGATTCATCGGACTACCGCGTTCCAAAGTAGTCGTTATTCGCGTTTATTTGGTGCTTTTCATAAATATAATTATATAAATAACCGAAGGTTTATAGTTTATTATAAATTATCGATTTCGCTGGAAAATAACTAATTACCTAGAATTATGAATATTCAAAACGAAAGGATTTTAGTTTTATTAAATATTTGTCTTATTTAGTGAGATAATTTTATGGTATATTTTCCAGTCAATAAGTGAATCAAATTACAGCTTTTACTTATTCTACGATTATTAATTACGGGAAATTTTTTACGTAAGTTATTAAAAAGATTATTCGTAAAAGTTAAAAATTAATTTACGTCAATGTTTAAAGTATATATGAGATTTGTTAGAGAATATGATCATCGTTTTCGTCCAACGTTTCTTTTTGAATCAATTTGCTGAGGTGATCTATTCATAACTGGAAGAGCAGAAGTACCGCTAGTTCCGCTAGTGATTACGAGTGGCTGTCCAAAGGGTCGAGTACCTGAAGTTGAACTACCGCTCTCTCTTCTTCCTAAAGATGGAAATCCATTGATTTTATAGTTCTTTAGAAGCTTTTAATAATATTAAAAAAAATTGTTTTGCTTTAAAAGTTACTCTAAAATAAAAAATCTGAAAATCTTGTAAAAAGCACTAAATATCAATAACTTTTCTATTCGTTGCTATTTCAGTAGATAGGAGTGTAGTTATTTTTAATATTTTCAACAATTACGAAGCATAAAATTGTTGAACTTCCATCATAATTATTTTTCCAATATAATGACTTTTCTTTATTTTATTGCAGTATATCATTTTTCATTATATTAATGAGATTCTATTTTTTTAATTTTCTTTCGGTATTTTATTTTTTTTATAACACAAGTCTTATTTATTTATTTTTCTTATTAAATAATCAAACTGTAATAAAACTTATGTTGATGAAAATTATGTCTAACTTTGATGTTATTAATATTAGCAAGACACTGGATAATTTACATGTAACTATTTGTATGAATATTTATGCATTACATTAGTAAAATTATTAGTAATAATTATTATAGTAAACAGATACGATGTGAATTTACTTACTATGTGCCAAAGCTTTATGGAAATGAAACAAAAATACTTACTGCTTATATATTATTATAAATGGATCTGATCAGCGTATAAATTGAAATAATAAATGAGTTTTTTTTCAATATTTTTAATTTTCTAAATGAATTTTAAGTTATTTATAAGTTTACATTATATTTCTTATCAGAAGGCCACGTTCATTCATTGGCAAGGCAGAAGTTTTGGCGTTTAGCCGTATCAACTGAGTTTCTCGATGACATTGCATTGTCAAAGTGTGATTTGTATCAATCCATATTCATGAACTGAGTTGTAAGTTTGGTCGGAAATTTGTTTTTTAAATTTTTGCGAAAGCTTCAAAAGCCTGAATGTTTCGAACTAAATTCGCAAGCCTAGGCGAGCCATGAAATTGTGACAGTTCAGAGATCATTGCAATTAAAATTACAAAAGAATATTAAACGATTGTAAGAAAAAGTTCTTTCTATATTTACAATTTATCTTGTAGCGTTCAAGTCCAATACTTGTACGTACAGATCAAAAGGTATAGAAAGCTCGAAAGTCGGAGCCGATGTATTTGTTCACGTAATAAGTAGCACGGCGGTACGTCGGTTTCGGAGTTGAAAAGCATATATCTATAGAGTGATCCGGTATATACGTTGAAAGCTTTTGCTATCGCCAAATCGATGCCCAACAGCTTGAAAAACCTTGAAAGTTTTCAAATGAAAAGCTGAGTCGCAGCGAGCGGTGTTGAGCCGGTATAGCTTTCACGTGAACTAGCAAGTTGTGTATGCTATGAAGTCGAATGACAAGTAAGCGATCCAATCAAGAGGAATGCTGCTTGAATTATCGCGATTTAACAAGTCAAGCTCTCGGGGATACGTAGCTCTATTTTCTCTCGTTACATACGCGCGCGCGTACACGCATTGCACGCGTGTGCTTTCGCGGAAATGTCTGCCCGAATTGTTCGTGCGTCTCTGGTCTTTTAGTTGGGCTGCTGCGCTGTGCAACGAGGGGCTTTGATTAATTGACGGGAAAACAGATTGCTGTCGCCCCTATGTTAGTGCTAATACCAACAGCGGAGGAGGCCGGATGATGCTTCTAGCTCATTAACCTGCAAATCCCGACGAACGAGCTCAGCTCTCCCTCTCTCCCTCTAGATCTCCACAGATCACCTTCCATTGCACGTGCCCACAATTTAAATGTATTTTATTACTAATGTCAACTACCTGACCATTTTTTTCAAACATGCTAACACACACATCAGTTATCTTTGAAAAATTCTACAAAATTGTGAGTTATTGCTTTATGCAAAGCACAAATAGTTCAATAATTCCCAAGTATTTTCTTTTTTCAAAATAAAACATGCACATCACATATCAACGTACAAACATTAATGATCTTTGACAAGGTCTTTGATTGTTTTTATGGACACACATTTTCCTAACTTACTTCCTGTTCCGTAAATAAATGATCTGTGTTCCTCTTTACCGTTGGACAGAGAAATAATATTCTTTCGCTTTTTATTCCGGCACATTGTCCGACACAAATTTTTACATGCTGCAATATTTCTCTATAATTTGGTGACATTTACGTAATAGTATAGCCATAAAAAAATTAAGTAAGAACTGCTTCAACTTGTAACATGCATTGTAAAATTTGATGTTTTTTTTTATAAAACAATGGCTCTTATTGTATAAAAAGTACTGTACAAAAAGACCGTGAAGAAAGTATAAGTTGCTTTTTTTCAATGTTCAAAACGCTCGAGAAACATTGCTTAAAAGAGAAAACAAACCAAGTGGCATTAGTGAAAATATGGCGATTTTTAGTATTTTTTCTTGCAAACAATAAACATTTATATGTATATATGGATGCTTTTCCTTGAAAAAACCAATAAAACGTCAGCAGCTAGTTGGCAAAAAATAAAATAAATAATAAGCAATCAGTTTTGCATGCCATTTCCAACAATTTGAATGCTCTATTGCATATATAGATTTTACGAGCGTGCAATCTTTGCCGCGCACAGATGGTTGCGTAATAAACAAGGATTATGATGACAACGCTTGCGATAAACCCAGATGCATGAATGTAATACTAAACAAAAGTTCGATCAAGTTGTAGCGGAAAAAATGTAATACGCAATATATACACATTTACATTTTAAGTTACTTTCAGAAATCTATTGACGGCTTTGATTAGTTCATAATATTATGAAATTTCGACCACATACTATTCCATGTCAATAATTATTTTTTCTTTGACATTTCGTATATAGTGAAGATTTTACAAATTAAGAACTTCGTTTCCTAATTTTTAATCATGCAGTATAAGTGTGAATCTTATCCTTATTTTAAGAATTTTTTTACCGCAATACATCAAAATCCCTGTTTATTGACCATTACAATCAATAGAACAAGTACTAAAAGAAGAAATAGAATGGTTAAAACAATTTATCTGGAAATGTCACGTACAAAAGAAAGAGAGACCAACATCAAGTTATACGACGTTGTAAGATATATAGGTATAGATATGTACCGTGTGTAGGATAACACCGAAAGCTATATTAAGGTCGATAATCGCGTTTACGCCATGCGCACACATACATCGCTGAAATATAAACTAGGGTTATAAAAAAAGAAAGATTTTCACGGAATACAGCCGAAACGATTGTGCACCGAAGGCTACAGAGGTTTACCAGTGCACATAACTGTGTCGGGTCGGAAGTGAAGCCGATAGAATTCTTTTTTGAGGCAGTAGAAGCTTGCCAAATATAAAAATGCTCTGAAAGTTTAGCCACTGTTCTGAAAGCTCAATCCACACGGTATATAGATTCAAGTGAAGCGGACATTTGCGCACAAAGTTATCGTTACTTACGTTTGCAACTGAAAAGAGAAAAGAAAAACCGAACACGTCGATTATTTTCTAGTTTTCGAGTGAATCGACCTGACAGCTTAGTTAGTATTCGTACTGAAAAGCAGATAAAACGAAATCTTGGAAGGGAACATCCAGTTATTTCGCAGTAGATTGGCCAGAATTGATCGTGAAAGAAAACCGAGGAATAATTGGCCGTAAAATAAAATTAATGTGACGTTAACGAAGGGCGCATGGCGTAAAAGCTATATAATGTGATAGATATATAAAGAAAGAAAAGGGATAGAACAGCAAAGAGAGATATATAAAGAGAAAAGAGATGAACGAAGAATAAGGGAGAGGCAGGCGGTGCGTCAGTCTTACCAGAGGTAGACGAGGAACAAGGTTGGGAGGAGGTAGTTGTCCTCGCTGACGACGAAGGTGCTGCACCGGGGGGAGGATGACCAGCCGTAGGAGGCGTAGGTGGTGAGTTTGCCGAGTTGCCACGTATTTCGCCAGCCTGCTTCAGCACCTGGTATATGGCGTCCACATCTGCCAGATCGCTCGTCAGTATTTCACGAGTATTCAAAGCTCTAAGATGTTTTTGCTTGTTTTCTCTAATGCTAGTCATCGATTTGTCACTTTTTTATCTTGCCTGCCTGTCGTCTTGCTAGTTCTCTTTTTTGCGCGCAATACCATCAAAATGTATCGTTAAGCAACCAGCCGTTGATCTTATTTTCATTAAGGCACCAGTGCATGTATTTGTAATAATTTGCAGGAAACTATTGAATATCTGAACAGATTAATGTTGATCGATGAATTTTTATTTGGATGATGTCAGATGGCCAATAACAATGTGGCAACTCCAAAATAACAGGTTGCTTGTCGATACGTTCAAAGGCAAGAAAACGGTTAAATGCGATTGACGATGAAATAGTCGTCGCACTTGAGTGCTTAAATTTTATAGCAAAAAACATAATAGTATAATGATGATGATGATAACGATGATGACGATGACAATGATGATGATGATGACGACGACAATAATGATGATGATGATGATGATGATGATGATGATGATGATGATGATGATGATAATAATAATGAGTGCAGAGCCTAAATATAATTAAGGCCTCAAGACACGCAGTGAGCCTCTGAAGATACTTAAGCAATCTAGCATCAACTGCCTAAAGTCTAAGACTCTAGAAGTAGGCAGAGGCGCACAGTACCAATCTAGTTATCTAAATCAATAAGTGACTAGCAGTTGTGCTGAGAATAGAAGGTTGAATATAGAGAAGGGATTCAGATCAGTTAGCTCTAAATACAATGTGTTGTCGATGTTGTACTGCAGCAAAACCTTGTCGAATTTTACATTTGCTCACATTTGACATTTAACGAGGGCAATGCTTCGCTACTAATTGTGGAAAAGCAATCGCCAGGTGGATCGGCATTTCGAGTAACGTCTGATACACATGTAACACGTAAAGGTTGAGCATAAAAATAACGAGTACCACAGCGACAAGCACAAGGTGTTCGTTGCAAGAAAAGGGGTGCAAGGACTGATGGCGGCTCTGAGGATGAGTTTCGGAATGAGTAATCAATAGAATAGAATGTATACTGACTTTGATCGGTCGTGGCTGTCTCTTCGACGGGTGGCGCGGTGCTTTTCTGCCTGCGCAACAAGGGTATTCCAGCGCCGCGCTTGGACTGCAGACTTGGACAATTCGGCGGCTGTATCGAACTCATGCAGTCGGCGTGAGCATTCGCCTTGCAGTTTCGGCATCGGTAACCCTGGCGAGCGTGACCGCGCAACACTTGGCCACAGGCATCGCACGGCGTTATCTTGCGGTAGGTGTACTCGCGCCACTGGTGACCGCCGCTCTCCGATTCCAGATTTTTCCTAGCCATCGCAAATCATTCGCCTTGTTCATCACTATTGCCATTGCGATCTCTAAGTAATAATGCTAACACCAGTTCAACGAATGCTCGATCAGAGTATACAAATCGATCATACGTTTCTTTAACTCCATGACATTTCTTCCGCTATCACGTAAGAAACCAGCGACTAAAAAGTCACAAATTTTGTCCCGCACACAGACTGTAGAAAACGTTTTATTTATAAATTTTGCCGTTTATTTATTTTAAACTGTAAGAAATATTCATAGACGTTTGTAAGCGTTAATCTTTTGAGAAAAACCGAGAACCGTATACGCTGCCGTAACGTGTCCCGGAAATGCGTATAAGCTATGTTTCTCTATAAGAAAGGCCTTTATTAGCATATATCAGTCCATTAAAAAAATTTTTATGAAAAAAGGGAAAGAGAAAATGTTCGTGTATATTTTCCACAGTAATTAAGGACGTTTTCGTATATGTGACGACTCTTACTCAACTTTACACGTGAAAAACACGCTGCATCCGTTCTACTCACTCATAAGTGAATTATTATAAATAATTATTGATGCATTGCAACGAAAAAGCTTGCGAATATTAACCATAGTATCTAGTTTCCTGACTATACACTTTATCAGAGATCAATATGTACTTTCGTTTATTTAGAAAAAATTAAAAGCTCAAGAGTTGAGAAAGGCGTAATTTTAATGCACCAAACGCTGTCATATGAACTGTTGAAAGTGAAAATTTGTTTAGTACTACATTTGTTGAAAACGCAATATTTCTACCAGCTTGCGCTCCAAGCTCTAAATATCCCATCATAAATTACGCAGCAAAATTTCGAGTCGCCGTAGTTTTGAAAAAGAATTTGAGGCCCGCGCGGGCAATAAAGCCGTTGGGGAAAACCCAAAAAAACCAGCAAATGGCACGACAGCAGCAATACTGACCGGTAGTTCAAAAAAAAAAAAGGGTTTAGGGCCCTTTGCCTGAGAAATAGTGCAGCAGGGAACACGTGGTCAGCAGATGCGCTGCATACACCTCATTTTTTTTTATCCGAAGCCTGCGACGGAACACGCGTAAAAGCAAAAGCGTCAATATCGTAAATGCGGAGCTGTTCTCGAACGTCTTCTTTTCAATAGTTTTTAAGACCATTGTAACAGCGGGATTTATGATCATCGTGTGCGTATGTCTGTTTCTGGAATAGGTGTAAGTTGTAATAGAACAAATTTGTATTCATGTTATACTGTATATGAAATGTCCATATGTAATCTAGATATAAGATAGTCAAAGGGGTTAAAAGAATAATCAACTTGCTTGTTTGCAACTACTTCGTCGTTGGCTGTCTCTCGATTCAAATTTGCATATTTTTCTTCATGTTTTATACGCCACATAACAAAGCTTCGATCTCTCTCGCGCGTTAACGTTGCGCGGCATGAATGTGCACGAGCGCCTTGAATGCGGCGTAGCGTGGCCTTGAAGCCCAATTTTATCAGCATCGGCGAGCATAGGAGCTCCCCGAGTGTTGTCAGACCTCGCGAGGGAACATTGTTCCCGGGTATTGAAGGTCACCCAAACATACGGCACGGAAGGCTGTCAGGCCGACCGTGGGTCCATCAGGCAAGCGAACGGAAAAGCGAGCGAGAGAGAGAGAGAGAGAGTAGAAGTAGCCCTTTGAGGCAATTAAAAGAGAGGCAGCGAACGAGAGTATAGCAGCGTAGGCGGAGCGAAGGGATGCGCGCGGCAGCGGGGCCTAAAGAGAGGGCTAGAGCTGTCGAAAACTGTAGCGGACGTCCGGAAAAGGGGGCGAGCGGGCCCCACGCGAAGAAAACACTAGTCAGTTTTGGCACTCATCGTTCAGCCGGCAAACAAGCAAGTTGTCCTTGTTCGTAAAGCTTAGCATATCTTCGAATATCTTGTTCTTGCGTTGAGTTGGCTTAAGCAACAAATATTAAACTTGTTATATTTCAATAAAACTTCACCGTGTAAAGTTATTGGCTCAAATCCCACATCCAACAACATTGTTTTTAAAGATCCCAAGAATGTGCCTATCAACTTTGAGATGTTATAGAAGCGATTTAGTGGGACGGCGTAATAACGCGTCATCACTTTCTAACAACAATATATAGTTTATAACTTTTAAAAACACACCGTGACCTATTTTATTAGGACGCTTATCCGTGCGGGACGTATAAATCTTGACTTTCTGAAAGTTTCTAAAGAAACTTTCCATGTGAATCGTCAATCTAAACACAAGAACATTTTGTTTTTTTACATATTTTCTTATAAGAAATAAATTTTTTCATTTATTTTTGAAAATTCACATAGAAAGCTGCTTTAGCAAATGACAGAACATATGCAAAATCAATTTTCCGAATGGATAAGCATGCTATAAAAAACAAGTAATAAGTATAAAATAAGTAATTTAAATAAGTACGGTGTGTTTTTAAAAGTTATATACTATACTGTTGTTGAAAAACTATGCCGCTTCCGTTGTTACGCCCTTATACTAAATCGCTCCTATAGTTTGCTCTTATAAACATTAATATCTTAAAACTGATATATACATTCTTGGGATCTTTGAAAACAATGTAGTACTGAACAAATGTTCATTTTCAGCAATTCGTAACAGTGTTTTGTACATTCAAATGCCGCAATTCTTAACTATTGAGGTTTTAATTTTTTTCTGAATAAAAAACTAAGAAAGTACATATTGATCTCTGGAAAAGACTACAGGAAATTGGATAGTATGTGGAATATTCTTATATTTTTTCACTTAAATTTATCAATAATCATTCTCTTACGCAACGCTTTGTCTACGCGTAAAGTTGGGTGAGAACACTCACATACAAGAGAAAGTTCTTAACAACGTGGCTCGTACTGGCGACTGAGAATGTACACTCCGTGAAATTTCAAATTGGAAATAGTTATGAAAAAAATAAGTATGACTCAGTAACAATATAAAAATTGAAAGGATTGTCATAATGTTGTCGTTCAGGAAACAAAACAAAAGCAGCTTCGTATTACAGAGCGTAGACAGAACGTATGCGCGACGTATCGGTTGCAGTCGGTCGCTACTTTACTCGGCACACAGTCTTGACATAAGCCAATAAGTGAATTTACTCTCTCAAACATTGATGTTTTTTATATGAAACTTTATTAATAACACTAAGACATTCTGTACAAGACTAAGTTTCTCAAAAAAAATGTGCATTCTATTTGGTTTTTTTTTCTTTCTTAAACAGTACAAATATAATGTAAAGTTCTAGCGTAATTTTTTCAAGAATTTTTTAGATAGTTTATGCAAGATTTTATTCATGTAAATAATTTACTATGAGTCCAAAAAGAACAAAATATATAGAAATTTAATACTTGAATGATTTCAATAATCAACTTGAACTAACAATACAGTAAGCGCATGGTTCAGCGGGATTAAAGGTTAGTAGTGATATAACCCTGTGTATTTTTAAACAAGAAAACGGAAAAATAGAGGTCATTGAGCTTTATTTAGAAAATTACTGTTGACTATGTTTTATATTGATTGTTCTAAGATTAAAATTGAGTTGGCCGTAATGACCGTATTTTTGACAAGAATTTTTTTTTGTAAATTTCAATTGAGTTCGTGCCAGATCATTTCCAAGACCATGCTGCTATTGTGAGTATGGAAATAATTCTTACCTGGACATGGCGACCACGGAGGAAACAGCATGGTACATTGCTTGTTTTCCTCTGAAGCATTAGTAATAAAAAAAGCCAGATCGTTAATATTATCAAAGCTTTGATTACTTTTTACGATTTTTGAAGTGCTAAAAATCATCTACAAATTATTACATGCAATCGCGGATGTTGTTTGATTAAATGTCACTGCACTCTGCAGTTCAATATAATCTGACGCTAGTGAGATTTTCTCAATACTAGACAAAAAATTAACAGGTATAAAGCATATTAATTTCGTAACAAAAGAGCTGAGGATTTCAATTCATAAATAGAATCATTGTCCTAACACGATTGAAAATATGCATGATAAAAACTCACTTCTCATTAGGCGGAGGAGTTGTCGGTGTAGTTTTCAGACTTTTGAAAGCTTTTAACCATTTATGTTTTGTATTACTACCAGTTGAACCATTTGATAATTTTCGATTTCCAATTCCGTCGGGCATTGCTGCTTCAGCTCCGGCGCTGCCGCCACCAAATAACTCTTTCTATAACAAAAGAAAAGAATACAATACTTTTTAAATTGTTCCTCGATTTATATTTAAATGCATAGATAAGTGGTAATTATTTATGTATTTTGCTGAAAGAAATACGTGAGTATAGCAAATCATTGATAGCTATATACCTAATTGTACTTTAAGAATGTTAAGATAAGTCTATAGGTATTCTATTTCTTAATATCTTACCACTTTCCTGTACATATTAAATATTTGTCGCAGAATATTTTTTGTAATTGTAAATCATGAATTAAAGTGTCGCAACAATACACCTAACTATTATTTTTCAATATATTTACAGCATTTATAGATTATTTTATCACCGATTGAATATTGTTTTCGATAAAAGAAAACAAATGTAAAAGCAATATTTAGCTTCATTTAGAATTAATGTAATTCTCGTCCAAGAAAAATAACAGTCATAAAAAATAGAATAATGAATGCATTGTTTTGAATAATTTTGCTTGAAACTATTGATGTTATGCTTCAGTCTCACGAACGTACACTTTGTTGAAATGTTCCAATCTGAATTGAAGTTGTACCTTTCTACGCTTAGCCTGATGTTTGCTATCCTCCATCGAGCGATATTTTCTAATTCGTCTGACCATCATCGTTATACTATTAATGTGGTACTCAGGACAGTGCTTAGCTTGAATACTAATTAGAATAACGGAGGCTCGTTCTATGCCCGTCTGATTGCGGCATGTCATCGAGCAGACTGCCAGGCATTTCATCGAAGCCCTCGAAGCCAAATGCAACGGGCCTAATTGGATCTGCATGTGTGTTTGTGCACGTGTCCCTTTCCTCGCTTCGTGGCAAGAATTACGCGTCAGAGATAAGCCTGATGCGATGCGTATGAGCTAACTTAGTCTGTGATTTATAGAGCGCGAATGAATTCGATTTTATACATCTTAAGGTTGGATAGATACGTTCCAGACAATTTAAATTTTCGTATGAGATACTAAGCTATGTATCACTGATTCGGAGGAAAAAACACAAGAGAATCAGATTAATGTATTATACATTTGCCATATTTTTTACCATTCCATTTTTCTTACTTAATGTTCAATAAATTCTCTAGCTGTAACTCTTATGATGGCAAACAGATCACTTCTATTAAATATAGTCCTATTTAGATGAATAATAAATCACAACTATTCATTAAATATAACAGTTATTATAAATAAAAATATCTAAATAATCTTGAAGCACGGAAAATTACAAATAGCAAATTACGATAAGCATGTAAATTCGTGTCGTCGACAACGATATAAGAGAAATTTATAAGCAGTATCATTATTGTTCATTTGAACATTATTTAGTCGAAAATATCACTATAAAAATTAATTCAAATCCAACAAATTAATAATAGTTTTAATATTGTAGCGTGCATCAGAAACTTGTAGGGTCTGATACATTCGACGGCATTATCTTAATTTATTGTGATCATATTTGATTCTCAACAAAAATTGTTCATGCGGAGGAGACACGTGGCATACCAAGCATATAATATTTTTACATTATAAAGATAGTTCTGTTATACCAATAATGTTAAGTAAATTATATAGATTGCCACGAAAATTATTTTTCAATGGGTTTATGCAGAATGGAAAATATATTTACTTCTTCATTTCATTTAGAAAAAATTAATCATTTTTATGGATAACTCATTCATAAAAAATTAATAAATGTAGAGGTAAAATGGATGGCTTGTAGTTGTTTATATACTAACAAGTTTCATATGAATAATAGACTTTTGAAAAACTTGAGCGACTTAAGCTTTTGATCTTGAACTTATTAATAAATTTATATATAAATAACTACGTAGGTTCCAATGAAATGCTTAACTAAAAATCTTGAAAGGTTAAAGCAACTCAGATTCATACAGAAAAATGCAGAAAGTTCATGGGTCGATGCTGCGAATAGCATCGAACCTCGAAAGCTTTAGCCTATGGCTACATTCTTTAACACTAAATATTTTAGTGTAACAATCACTTTGAGCTACAAAAATAACCCTGGTTTGTGTACTGACTTAATCGACTTCAATTTTCTTAAACGCCCTTATTATGTCACTGCGAATACCTTTTTTCAAATTAATTACAATTAATGCAATGTACTTAAATGATTTATTTTTTTGTAAAAATGAAGTTGCCATACTTATGGAAATACACTGTAATGAATGACAGTTCAATAACATCACTGTTGAGATTCTTCATTTGTTTTTAAATTTATTAAAAGCAACACTTTATTATGATGGCGCATTTGAAAAATTAAATGGAAAGTTATGTAAAATATTTATTCTTCTAAATTGAGTATATGCACGCAATTTTTTAGTTATTCATTGAATTACAAGAGTTATTGGAAGTATTTTATTTGCTTTATAGAGATAACTATTGCAATGATGCAGTACTTGAATGACTGCCTGATACTTAACGTTTAAATAAAATGCGCCCCTTTCATAAAAGAGTAATTTTAGAAAAATATCGAGAATCGTCATTCGTTATCGTAGAGCGCTAATGAATAATTTCTACTTTTAATGTTAATTGGTCAGTTATTTGTTCAGTCAATTTATTTTAAATTTTTGGCATTGCATTGTTAAAATTTTTTAAATAACAGCAAAAGAAAATTAAGGAAAAATTGTAAACTTTTCATATCAACAAAATCTCGAGATACAGAACGTTCTACAAAGTGGTAGATGATAAACCACACAAAGGTAATTTATTGAATAAGGCTTTATTAAAAATGAATTTTAATAACACTTCTATTGTGGGGATTTTGTCTAAGTACTGAAAAAAATATATATGTACAATTGACGAACGATCTAAAGTGCAATTTGACTTAATAATTAATAGGCGCGTACAGCCTAGTACTTTCATGTACTATAGCTGCATACATTTATTGTATAGATCTTTAATTTAATGCCGGTTCGGTCAAAAGTAAATTTTGGAGGCAATGCAATTATTTGAATACGATATAAAAAGTAATGATAATCCAATTGAAAGAGTAATGTGAACTTCAGAATCGTGAGTATTTTAATGAAGCGTAGCTATTTATTAATTAATCAAATGATTGAGTTTAAAATGTGATGTACTTTTTAAGCTGAGAAACCTCGTTTCATCAAATTTTTCCGCATTGCAAAAGAGAATTTGGATTGATATAGGTAAGTACGGCACCGACAAGTCTGATGTAATCGTTCGTCCTGACGCAGGATGCATTGGTTCTAACCTCAATAGCTGCGTTATTTCAGATGCCGTAACGCATCGCGATAAATCTAGTAACTACAAGTGTAATAAATATTGAAAGTAATACTAACGACGCGCACACGCAGCGACGTCCAGCCCATGATTAGCGAGGAGGAAAAACGGGTCGAATTTGGCCGGGCCAAGAGCGCAGAGTCCTCGCACTTTCTCTCTTGGCGACCTATCTCGTCGGACTAGGTTGGCAAGCTGGATTTCCGCTATGCATTTCTCTCTCGGTCTGACCCAGTTGCGAGGGCGCATGTCGAGTTTGGCCAATATCGTTAGCCCGCGTAGCGCCGCGTTGCTTGTATTTACCTATACACTCCCGCTCCATCCCTCCGCCTGTCTTTCTCGGCACTTCCCTCGCTCGCTTTCTAGCCAGCTTCTACAGCTATCGTTCGGGCATGAACACTGCCTCGCTGATGAACGACTCGTTTACACGCGCTTTTCTTTGGCTTTCGGCAATAACAAGCCCAATCAACTAAGCGTGCCTTTGCACATGAGCCCAGCGGCGATCCAATTGGCTAAGTCGTCGCCCAAGAAGATAGCAAGTGGCAGGAAAAGATGCCTCTAATTCTACCTATTTACCGCGTGGTGCATGACCAGGCGCATGCGCTTCAACTGCATTTAAGAACGCGGCGGCGCGATTCGCCGATTGAGAACAGAACGCTCTCTACATAAGCATATCCTCATTCCCTTTATTCAGAACATAGAATAATAACGCATTCTATGCCAAGACTGTGAAAAGACTCTTTTCACAAATACAGTCAATAGACAACTCGAGGTATTTCCTTGCAACAACGAATAAAACATTTTTATTAGGATAGCATTAACTTGGAATTTTGAAGGTATCTTACAAGGCACCATGTGATTTATTAAAATGTTAGATAATTATAGTTGACTAACAAAAAGATAATTTTAGTGGCATTTTTATCTGCTATGAAATAACTTCTGAAGCTATGCGTAGAAATTCATTACAGCATACAGCATAGTGCGAACTTTTGCAGGGATAAGCGAAACTTCTGAAGTTCTCATAGCTACGGACTATTGAATCTTATGAGCTTTTCTAAATATTGAAGACATAATATATTTGGACAATGGGTACGTAATCAATTTGAAAATGCATATAAATCTAAACTTGAATATTTTATGAGCATTAGCAGTACGCATTCTTTTAATATTTAGTACATTTTTTTGAAGTTTGGATGAACGAAATGAAGCATTGTTTAGAGATTTCATTTCGTTTGCTCAAATAACCTAAATACTTAGTTTTACGTTGAAAGTCAAACGAGCTTTTACTAATCAAACTTTGTATTTTATAGAAAAATTTACAGACTCGATTTAGTTAATCAACGCCGCATGGTGAACACAATTTTTAACATTTTCTTCAACAATTTAAAAAAATGTTCCGTTACCCATTCTTTTTAAAACGGTAGTCGATAAAGGCTATAAGAAACTTTTTTTCCCAAAGTTTTGCGAAATTCTAAGGAAGCTTTTTATGTTCTTCAGTCAAAAGATGAGAAAATGTTGTAGCCAATATATTTTCACATAAAATGTTAATTTTTCCTAGAGTTTCGCAAAATTCTAAGAAAGTTTTCTATATGATATAACAAAATCAAAACGGAAAAATTAATGTTTTATAAAAAAATACATTGACTATAACATTTCCGTATCTTTTGAATGAAGAACAACATAAAAAGCTTCCTTAGAATTTCACAAAACTCTGGGAAAAAGAAGTTTCTTATACCCTTT